GCTAGATGAAGTTAGCAAATTGACCCAGAATCATCCCGTACGCGTACAGCATTAGGTCAGAACGCATGGGTGTTCACATCTCGCATAGGTTTATTCTTACTTAGGTGTAGTCTTTACAGCTGGATGTAACTTTAACACAGCGATGAAATTACTACAAAAGAAGGCCTTACGGGCGTTGTTCAGTATTAAATGTACTCTAGGAGACACTAGGGCGCCTATATCAGTTTACTGTAAGCTTTTTGATCAGTGTGTTGTCCCTATATTACTGTACGGGGCGGACGTGTGGTGCAACAGCAGATTAAATGATAACTCGCCGCTTGAACAAACACACTTAAAATTCTGTAAACAAATTCTAGGATTAAGAAGAAACGCTAGTAACTATGCCAGTAGAGCTGAACTTGGCCGCTTCCCCCTATGGATTGAAGCGTATTGTAGAATGTACAGTTATTATTATAGATTAGTTAGAAATGTTCCCGTTGAAAGTCTTCAGTATGAAGCTTATATAGTACAAAAAGACCTTGTTAGAAGTAAAGTACCCTGTTGGTTGTTGAACATGAAGACAATTTTAGAGGAGTCCGGCTATGCCTGCCTATATACACATGACTATATTAACAAACCATTCCATCTGCATGAACTAAGACAAAGATTAAAAGATATATTCATCCAGAAATTCAACTCAGCACTACAAGCACAAGGACAAAAGAAAAATCAAGGCAACAAACTGAGAACATACAAAACATTCAAAGTACTATACGACAGAGAACCATATTTAGACATCCCAAATTTTGAAAACCGCAGAGCCATGTGTAAACTCCGTATTAGCGACCACCCTCTACACATAGAATCTGGCAGGCATAGCCGTACACCGTTACAAGATAGACTGTGTACATTCTGTAACAATTCTTGTATTGAAGATGAATCGCATTTTATGCTTGACTGTAAATTATATGATAACGAACGTAAATCACTGTTCAGTTCAATTAAGCTCGACAAAAAATGTAAAACATTATCAAAGGAAGACACCTTTAAATATATTATATCATGTACAAATATAGACGTCATCAATGAAGTATGTAAGTATATTTCAAAATGTTTCAAAAAGAGAGAAGAAACCATTAGAACTTAGATCAATACCACTTATATTTATATTTCTTTTTATCTTATTTTTAGCATTGTATACCTTAGACCTAATGTTAGCCTTTTATATTACTATTGTTTTAGTACTCTCTAGTACATTGTACATCCATGCATTTATCCCTCCGGGGAATGAACATGCAATAAAGTTTCAATAAAGTAATTCAATTACTATAAAAGGGGACCGGACGGCTGCCATTGGTCAACATAACATGCTGATTAATGAGTAGGTGTACAGCACTTGACATTTGGGCTGAATCATAAAGGAAGTATTGTTGTTGTCATCTCCAAGCAGATGTGGGGTGTATTTTTCCTCGGTTTTCTACTACATATTGGTTTGTTTACACAGCTGGAGAAGGAGACATGTACAGAGATTGGCAGTGCACCTTATAACATCTGCTTGGAGCCTGTTAGCGACAGGTGGTGCCTGTATTTGAATGAGTAGGTTGAAAAACACACAATGCGACTATAGCAACCCTACCCTAACCTAACCCAGCCAAATTAAGATTGATAGCATTCCTCTTTTAAATTTGACAAAACTTACTACGTGATTCTAAATCTACCAGACACAAACACACGATTTGGACAGTGTCATATACTAGTACACTCCTCTATCACAAGGTTGATGTAAATTCATTTTCTTACGTGCGCAAGTTACATTTTCGCAAGGCACGAACATACGAAGAAGGAACAAGATGGAAGTCAAAAATAACAACTGTGCGTGGGAGGGGGGCGCTACTGCGACTTACCTTCGTGTAGTGCTGTAGCAAAAACAAGGCACAGGCAAATCCAGTGGACGCGTTGGGCAGTAGTTTTTTCCATGGTGGATCAGTGGGGAGCCCCCTGCACGTTTGTTCGGCCCAGAAGATCAGACTGGTATGTTCAGCGGTGAAAGACAAACATACGTGCCGCTAACCACGCCTACACGCCTCGGCTCTCAGACTCGAACCGGATACGGCAGTACCACTTCCGGTATGGGGGTGTACTTGACGTCAGTTTTTGTGTAATCATAGTTATGCCGCGAAATAAAAGACAGAAATATTATAAAGATTCGGAAACACATTACATTCAGGACAGATGCCCACCATTTTAAAAGTTAAAATGCGTAAATACCATATATTAGACTAGTATACTATAAACGTTATATGGGAAGAAATCAAATTGTTCCGTGTTTCCTTGCTAAAAATAACAGGTGGCCGTCGAGGATATTGCGAGTCTTTTTTACAAGAAAAAAAAAGAAGAAGACAGTATTAAGAAGTTACGCAAAAAAAGTCGTTGTCTGAAGGACACGAAGCAACCAAAAACGCAGGAGACAACATAGATCGCCATCACGGGCCGGGCCAGGGACGTTCAGAAGTCCACCTTAACTAACGTAACGCCTTGTACTATGGATTGTTTTCTCTCTTTGCTGTTACGTTTTGCTAATATTAGATGAGTGGTAGTTTAGTCCTTAGTCTTCCTTACAAAAGAAATTGTATTGCATTGCATGCAATAATAACTTCAATTTTTTGTCAAAACTAAAGTAGCCTTCCGCTCCTACTTTTTGACAAATCATACTTCTTTCCGATATGATCGCATCCGGATATGATCTCAAACCACACAAGGAATGAAATGCAATAAAACAATAGAGCCAGACTGCACCTTTTCCGCTAGATGAGCTAACGCTTAGTGACGTCAGAGTCCGCAGTGCACTGTTGAAGATTTTACTTGGATTGTCCTATAGAAACTATGCCCGAAAAATACATACTTAATGTACTAAATCCACTCTGCGAATATCGAATGCGATCGCATGTGTATATAACGTTTAATAAAGCTTGGCCCATGAAAAATTGAAGTACGAAGCAATGCTTATTGCATCATTGGGTATTGATATATTGTACTAGCCTCTAGCGCAGGCGAGACAGCTACTAGCCGTCTCCCGGCGGATACACAGCTCACCGAGCGCGGCTGTCCCCGAAAAGCCGCCGCTCTAGCCGCCCCTTGAAGCGAACGCCGCTCCCGCAAGGTGAGGAGGCTGGTAGTCGGCGGCAAAAATAGCATTTTTGTGACATTATTTGCCTTAATTTAACTCGATATATTCTGCTCTCCACCTAGAAGTCATACATGCCATGTGAATGAAAAGCAGAAATGTTGACTATAACGCGATTTGTTAGCAGGGTAACGTTATAATTCTGATAACGTTACACTGTACTAGTTTAAAGACCTGCAACTTGAATGGAAGTTGGCAAATTATACTACATGCCACAATCGTAAGAAGTCATTGATGATGCATGGATTCGTGTCCCCCCCCCCCAAAAAAAAAACAGCTGACCATGCAACAAGTACACATGTTAAAATCATATCCTTCTTGGCAAATACGCTAGCCTGTGCCTAGGGAGAATGCCTTAATTCTTGGTAACTAATTAACTAGCTGTACGGGCAAGTCATCACGTCGACACTCCTACCTGATCTCCAAGCAGATGTTGTGGGGAAGATCGCTAAGTGTTCCGTTTTCCTGATACGCAATCCTTTGTCTGGAAAAAAGGGGCCGTCCGATTAAGTTGCGATCTTTCCTCCCAACATCTGCTTGGAGATTGCCGCCCACCAAGTGAAGTTCCTTTGCCGCTGGGGGTCCATCATCATCATCAAAATGGCGGAAGGGGGAAGGTGAGTTTCTTGGTTTTCCCTCAAATTTTCCTGATTGTTCTCCTCAGACAGCTCGTGTTTTGTGTTTTATAACCCCAAGTACAGCCACATAAAAAGCTAAGAACATTTTGAGCTGCTTTTGCGGTTGTTTGAATGCCTAAACTCCTCGCAGGATGCCATTTTTGGCGACATTTTTACCGGCATCTGGCCGCCTTGGGGTTACCACAGGTCATCTGGTGACCTTGTTTAAAATTTGTCGTCTTGTGACCTACATTTTTCGCTGTATACATCTTTATATAAGACGTGATGGAATTCAAGACAGAGGCGCTTGTGTCCCCTTCAGCTTCGGTGGATAATTTCGTTAGTGCCTCCCTCCTTCAGTGGCAAATATTTTAGGTCATAAGTCTTGTGTTATAGCCAGTTTGAAAAGAGCATAATTCGATATCCATATATGACTTTGTGATAAACACATCATAAAGTCACCCGGATTTTAGGGAATTCTGTACATTCTATCAGTAGTTACTACCCTCCTGCTGCAAACTATAAGGTCGTTAGCCTTTTGTAATCAGAACAGCAGGCGTCAGTGCATGCCCTAATGTGTCTGTTCCAGTTGTTGAACATTGTATTTCAAACTGTATCTGACAGGGAGGCATTGGGCCAGCTTCTAACCATAGTGAGACAGACACACCCGAGGAGATCAGTTTGTACTAGTTTGTAGCATTTTAAGATTTGTTACTACTCAAGGATTGAACGGGGTCAAAATTATTAAGTATCAAAGAAAATTTTGTACAAAAAGAGCAACAGAAAAAAATGTTTCCAGTACTGAGTAACCTGGGATAAAATGCTCCAATGCTTCTGGAAAACTAGCATAGTGTGCCATACTTATCACTCAATAAAGTTTTGAAATTGCATAGATCGTCAAAAGGTTGGCCTCTTTGTTTGAGACAAAATTATAATATTTTACTTAGAAGAAAACTCCTCACAGATTGATGAGGATTGACTCTGTGATGTTTCTTTCACAGCAAAGTCTCCACATTCCCAGAGTGTGCTATCATCCATGAAATCTACGATGGAGAAAACGCGGAGGAACAATTTGAGTACGAACTCGAGCGTGCGCTGGAGTCGGGTGTGCCGTATATCGTGGTCGAGCCGTCCAGACTCGGGGACGAGACTGCGCGTTGGATTATGATCGGAAACTGTCTGCACAAGACGGCCGTCCTTGCGGGACTTTCGTGTGCCATCACCACAGCCATTCCCTCGGACTACGTGTTTGGACACCTGGGGTTACCGAGCGTGCCCCGACTGCTTGGCACGACGTACGATGTCTTCAGTCTGTGCTCCGGGCTGGTGAGTTTCGCCTGTGCTGCTCTGTACGAGGTCTCCTGGCAGTCCGACCCCTGCTGTAAGTACCAGGTAGAGTACGACGCCAGGAATCTCGCCGGCCTTCCGCTACACTCGCTCACGTCTGCATCACCGGTAGTGCTCGTGCGTAAGGATAACACAGCCAGGCGGAGATTACACAGTGTCTGCACCACGGTGGCTGCACTTTGTTGTGGGCTACGCATCTATCGCTGGTACTTCCAATGATGTCAGTCTTTCATATCTCACCTCCAAGCAAGGTGCATGGGACTCTGAGGCATAACATCTAGATATACCAGAGGTCCACATGCTTCTGTAACTTTGAACATGTGGTGTGTGTACCTGCAAAAACTTGAAAAAAATACTAGGCCTTCCATTGGGAAGAGTTTCATCACCATAGCAAACAATACAGACATTTGTGAAAGGTTTGGTGGACAGGAAGGTTTTCCGTGCATGTTGAAGAGTAATTTACAGTTGGTGACTGCTGTTTGTAATCATCAACCGGATACAAGAATGGTCCAGGTTTCATCACAATTCCATAATCAAATACTCTGTAAAATAAATAGCTATTTGCCCTTTCAGAAAATAAATTGTTTGAATCTCTCATATGCTGGCTGATAGTTTTTCTTCAGTTTTACTGTTTGTACTGATGAATTTACCATTGTCTTTTAATAGTTTAAGACTCTAAACAACTCCCAGAATATCAGTTGATAGGATCCTAGGATTAGGAGAGGAAGACTTCAATATGAAATTTTGATTGCAGTGACAAACAAATGACAACACAGATGCTCAATGATATTCAATCTATATATAATATAAAGTTCCAAAATGGCAGAGAAATCATTTGTTCTTAGTATTGTCATAGATTGTTGCCATTTTTGAGTATCCTTACTTATTACCATGTATTACCAGGAAATTTCAGGTAGAATCGGGATGGATAATTTTTAAACTGTCAATGTACAGTATTCTGTAAGGTTTGCCATATTTTTGGTCATATTCATAACAAAAGCATTTCTCCTATCAAAACACATTTTTACTCCCCCCCCCCTCTTTGAACTATTAAAAACAAATATTTACCAATTCAATAGGCCTCTCACATTATGTTTATAGCCCCAAGGTACTTATGTCACAACTGTGATCACTATTTCTCATTTATAAACACAATGTTCTGATTTATGAACATAACAGAGTAGACAAAATTGAGAAAAATTATACTACTGTAATTCCTTTTTATACTGTATACATATTTATTTGTGTAGTCATAGCAAAATCAATGTCCTCTTCTGATCAACAAAAAAGCTGTCTACACACATCATTGCAGTCAACTTTTCAGTCCATGATTACTAGTAATATGCATGAAGGCTAAAATGGTCTGCACAATGAAAAGCACTACTGCCCAGTCCATTTCGGTCCCCTTTTTTGGAGAATGGAATGCTCCACATGAGATATTTCACACACTTTTACTGGAACAATCCATTCCTGAAGGTGTAGATTATTGTACATTCATTGATGATTGCAAAAGGCCCATGATGCTGGTTTCAGAGACAGTCAGTAACAGTTGATGTCTGATATTAGTTATTTACTTAACAACGTTACTGACACCAATAACCCATTCCTTTCTCCTGTTGCATGGTGTGGGCATGCACTATTTTCATAATGCAAAAAGTAAAAAAAAGTATACATTTTTTTCAGTTCTATTACATACCATATAATGAAAATAAGTACAACATACATAAACTGACACAACTCAATTCTATTTGGCAGATTAAATGTACTTCATCACCATCATTTTTTATGAATCAACCAAATCCTTTTAAGGCTCTCTCTTCTTTAATATACAGTATTTATTGCATGAAATAAATTTCCGTGCCATTGTCAGCTATTATTTATCTTCTAATACATATAAGACAGAGTTTACTTAATATTCAAAGATCTAACCAATTACTGGTATATCTAGATTAATTCAATTAAATCTAACATACCACCAGTGATACACCTACAAACCTATCACAGAAATGGATAATCACTTCAGTGTGGTGCCATTTACTTTTGCTTCACGAATTCAAAGAAGTTTAGGTACAAATGTACAATGTACATTTTGTAAATCTGTATCCAATGGCAATATGGCCTGTTCCAGAACTGCAAAGTGGCCCAAGCCAATTACGACCATCTCACTAAAACAGGTTACTTCAAAAGAACTTCATTATCTGTATCTGTAAAGCCAGTATGACCGCCCATCAGAGTAACCCGCCAGCTTTTCAGAATTATCTCTGGATTTTGCAATTTGAGTCTTATTTATTGACAATTAAGTGCAAATAAATGTGAAGCTAAGTGGAATTTTGAATACTTGGTAACAGTTTTGCTATCAAGCTTGCATTCATTTTCATTCTCTTTCTGCTATAGCACTATCAATGCTTGAGAAAACTGAACTGGGATACCATGAAAAATGCATGTTGAGGCAATGGTTGACTGCACTGACCCCCCCTAGACCATGACCAACCATTTGGGGATGTATGATTTTCAGTGCATCACACTATAGGTACATACAGTATTGCATGTTGAGTGCATCAGGTAAAGTGGAATGATGACTACAGTACCATGATGATACCATGTCACTTGAAAAAATGCCACATTTCTCTAGAGTTAAGGCTTGAAAATGTACATAATCCTCATCCAGACATGAGTTTGGACAGTAACAGCTAACTAACTCTCCTGGAACTACGGAGCTTGCCGTCACAAGTTGGGAAAGTTGGACACCTCTCCCACTGCCGTCCTCTGCTGTTCATTGCACATGTAGCTAAGTTTGTACTTTAACCGGACCGGCACCTGGGAGAGAAGAAATTATCACAGGTGAACATCATCAGACTGATATACATTATGTATGTACTGAAACACCAAACTGAATTGAATTTCTTTATTTCAGGTTTATGTCACCCCTAGAAAACAACTGCACAAACATGATTAAAAAAGTTTTTGAATTGGTAATCTGACTTCAGGAGACATAATATATAATTACACTTTCATTGGTGTTGGTAAGTCTGTTGATGAAGGAATAGCATCATTTTTGGCACCTGGCATCGAATTCCTCTTTGGTAAGGTGTGTAAGAATGAAGCTCGCACTACTACATGTTATTGTATTTCTTGGAAACTTCAGAAGAATTCAGAAACAATCATTATGCAACATTTGCTAACACTCAAATTACTACACCAAGTATACAACTGATTACTAGTATCCCTCAGCCTGTTACTACCTTTAGTGTTAGGAATGTTTTGCAATGTTAAATCCTGACCTTATTTGGGTTGGCCAGCAGCATGACTTGTGTAATGGCAGCCTGCGGCAAGATGGGGTTGTAGCCGGGGAGGTCCGTGGCTGACGGAGGCTGCAGTTTCACACGCATCACCTGAACAAACAGCACATGTTACAGCTGAAACACCTACACGCATCACCTGTACAAACACCACATGTTACAGCTGAAACACCTACACACATCACCTGTACAAACACCTCATGTTACAGCTGAAACACCTGCACGCATCACCTGTACAAACACCACATGTTACAGCTGAAACACCTACATGCATCACCTGTACAAACAGCACATGTTACAGCTGAAACACCTGCATGCACCACCTGTACAAACAGCACATGTTACAGCTGAAATACCTACACACATCACCTGTAAAAACAGCATGTTACAGCTGAAATACCTACACACATCACCTGTACAAACAGCACACATTTCAGCTGAAGCACCTACACACATCAACTGTACAAACAGCACATGTTACAGCTGAAACACCTACTGTACATGCATTGACATGTAAGAAATAAATCATAGAAGGCCTGGGTACCTTTGGCACAGCGGCTTGAAAGACTATACTCTGGATCCGTTCAGTAGCATTACTTGTGATGGAGACCACCATGACATGCACATCAGGCCGACCAGGGGCGGTGTCACGGGCAAAATGTAACACAATCTGCATGTTGTCCTTCTGACAGATCGTCAGAGGGCCTACACTTCCTAGAACAGTAAAAAACAAGGGTAAAGCTGTAGAAAAGTGACCAACATTCTTTGGTAAGGAGAAGTGATGTACAAACATGTCCATTTCTTGTACATGAGAAGGAAATTGAGCCTATATGTCTCAAGAAGGTTATCTGGCATTATCTAAGACACAGGAACTTGGCAAGGAGTTTATCTATATTTTCACTGGTGTTGATTTCCTTGTGGGTAAGGAGGATAACAACAGATTTTTATCATATTAGAGTTATGACATCACATGTACTACCTAAATTTTTGCAATCCCTCAGGCAGCTTTCTTTCAAACTGCATGTTAAAAGTACATGTAAATCCTGTAAAGGAAACTACAAACCGTACCAGGCTGGACTGACTCTATGGGAACAAACACGTCCTGCAGTGACAGGACTTCTGCAGTGGCAGGGGATGCAGGCTGGGGAGAGGGGGCACCAGGACCTGCCACCTGAGGGGTGGGGACAGGGGGGGCTGCCTCACCCCCTGGGGCTGGGGAACCCGGCTGCTGCTTCTGGGCAAGGAGCTGGTTCAAACTCTGCTTGGGCGGCTCACTGCAACAAAAGAAGGAAGATAACAGAAAGATGTAGACAAAAATGTATCTGAAAAATCCTCCAGAAGTGAGTCAATATGGAAAGAATTTTTAAGAAATTGAAGAGAAACTTCTTATTTTCACATCCATAACCATGTGTCACAGTCATTGGGACTAGACAAAACTACAAATGTATCATGCAAGGTAGGAAGATAGAGATGTAGGCAACACAAAAGATGAGAGTATGATGTCAGAGAATGGACCAATATGACACAAATGAAATGTTACAAGGAACAGGAAACTGAGAATGGTGGAGGTAACTAGTTGTCATATTGTCTGTGGTGCCTTAAGAGTCAGAATAATTAGACTGATAAGGGATATATGATGAGATGAGACATCCATGACTATAGGTCCTACCTAACAGGCTGTGATGCTTGCACAGAAGGCTTCAGGCCTCGCTCTTGCAAGCTCTTTCCCAGGACGTCCAAGTCTGAGAAGGCCCCCTCCACAACAGCTGGTTTCTCCTGACCTTGACCCTGACCTTGTGTCTGCCCTTGCACACCCAGATCTCCCAGCAGTCCTGTGGAACTCTGGGGCTGGACCAGTCCGGGAGTGGGAACTGTGTTCATCATGGCAGTGGGCGTGGCTGTTGCCATGGGCATAGCCATAGTGTTCTGTTGGAAAACGCCGCTTGATGCAGCTGTGAAGGGAGGCTGGGAGCCCATTGGTGCCATCATTGTTGTAGGTGGAGCCCCAGGCATGGACATGGGAACATTGGCTGGGGGAGCCTTGGGGAAAGAACATTTTACTTTACTTAACACACTGATTCAGGTTAAACATTCAGCTAATGAGATACACAAGCTACTCAAGCAACTGGGTGAATTTTACTTAGCAACAATGGCCTTTACAAAGGACATAACATGCTATGAAGAGGCACTATCCTTTATTCACCATTTAAATACATGTAAATATGTACATTTATTCCAAAACTTCACACACTTGTAACCTTTAAGTTGTTGCCTTAACCCAATAACCAAGAGAAGTGGTAGCCATACAGGTACTTTGGTGTGCTAAAGGTTAAAGAAGATAAACAGTTGCCATACCTGTCCAAATGCAGAGTAGTTGGATGCAGGTGCTACAGGGTGAGGCTGCATGCCTACACCTGGTGCAGGCATGAAAGGAATCCCACCTACAAGAGGCTGACCAGGTGCACCTGTAGGCTGTCCTAGTACACCTGTTTGAGCTGAGGCAGGTGCAGCTTCACCAAGTCCTTCAGGAGGAAAAAGTAAAACACAACAGATTAGTTTTTCAATAATCTTGTGCAACTGGCGCAACATGCTAAGCTTCCTCATTATACATTGTGTGATGGCATCTTCATTTCTACAATGTGTCAAGATTTGACTGCAAAAGTTTAAAATCATCCCTAGTGTCTTTCCAAATCTAACAACACCATTTTTTTTCAAAGAATCCGATATTATTAATACTACTTGCCTAGACCTTGAAGTTCACTGCTGAGAAGGTCTGCTGTTGTTGGGGGCTGTGGTGCTGCTACAGGGGCTGTTCCACTTACTGTGGGAGGGGCGGGTAGGACAGGGGGAATGGCAGACGTGGTAGTAGTGGCGGTTGGAGACCTTGGTCCCCCTGCATCCAACATGAGCAAGTCCGCCAATCCAGATTGCTGTTCTGTGGGAGACATTTCAGTGATAGAGAAAATTGACTGTCATGAACTCAACTTTTTTGCAAGAAAATCTAGACAGGAATACTTTTAGAGTGAAACTGGTAATCAGTTTTCAAGTCCAAAATGTATAAATAAATGTTAAGCGTAGATTGTATGATAAGAACAACAAAAATGATTTTCTTAGTTGAAGTTCTTCGAACCTGTTTGTTTTCCTTCCCCACCAGCTGTGTCTTCTGCCGTGCCATTTCTAACGCCCTCTACCAGACGTTGGTAGGACTGCATCACCCTCATCAGGTCATCATTTGCTCTCAAGATATCAGCTGTAACAGACACAAGTGCAACATAATTATACGGTTGGCTAAGAACAAAAGGACACTGCAGAAAATGTTCATGAATAGAAAAAAAAAGTTATATGTTATGTTTGCATAAGCTTGTCAAGAAAGTGCTACTCTACTTTACATTAAAAGCAAGAAAAAACTGATTTGTGCATGTACCCCCCTCCCCACTAGACTAATTTTCCTCAAATGGGAACAAGCATTAGACAGAACCTAGTGCACTTGATGATGATGATGCTGAGCCCTCCGACTGTGCCTTTGCATCTAGACAAACGGAGAAATCATATGTACACAGAGCCAACCTAGAAAAACTAGACGGCACATGCAAAAAAAACATTAAAAAAAGAAAAGCCTAAAAAAACATCAAGATGTTAAAAATAGATCATCATCTTTTATGTGAATAGTTAGCATATGAGAGAGGCGAGGGATTAAGAGGTAAATATTTGAACTCATACATTTTAAAAAATCACCTAACTCAAAACATAGGAAACTGTTTTGGACACTAAGTATTGTACAAGTGTTAAAAACCTTACAAGTTACTGGCATCAGGTGTACAATATGGAGATATAAAGAAAATGTTTACTTACCAATACCATCATCACCCTCGGGAGTGTCACTTGCGAGTCTGAATAAATTTGGTCGCATCTTTTCACACTGGGCGTAAAGTTCCTGTTACATACGAATACAGTGTACATGTTAGAAAATAGCTAATATAATATCCATCAACAAGATATACTTATGATAAGTATTTTCATCATTATAAATTCCAAGCTAGAAAAAACTGCCGACCCTAGCCCCTGTCGCTTTTTAGTGGACCCCTGCAAGGGACATACATTTTTCGAGCTGATTGACCTTTTCTAACTCCATTATCTGACACCTGAGTGATGAAACATTGTACAATCAGTGTTCCAACATTGACATTGAAAATATGCAAATTTTACTTTGTTAAATAAAAAAAAAACTCCATTGTACCAGTTGTATCACTAGAGTAGAGACTGCCAAAGTCATTAAAAAAAGGAGGAGAAAAAAAGATAACCCCTACCTAATACTGACCCTGTTTTTTTCAGGGCTGAAACAGGAAACACAACATGTTTTCCTAGGGCTCACCTTCATGACTTCCTTCTCGGAGTCGGACGCCTCATTAGGTTTGTAGTGAGCCAGCATCTCGTTCAGCAGCCTGACGTTGTTGTTGACCTCCTCCAGCTGGTTCATGCGGCGCGACACCCTCTCCATCCTGTCCGAGTCTTCCTTCACCATGTTCTTAATCAGCCTGTTGGCCGCCTGCAGGTCCTCCGGGTGTTTACTCTTCAACAGCCTGTCCAACAGCTGAAACAAAATCAGGGCTCAAAATTCATTTTTGGTAATAGCTACACTGGTGCACCAAACCTAAAAAATTAGGTGCACACAAAATTTTTCGAGGCCTAAGGTTTGGCCTAAGGTCTAAGATGAAGTTAGGATGTTTTTAAAACGTATAGATGAGGGCAGAACTACATGTACCTTTGCTTTATCTTCATCTTCAAACAGTGTATTTCTTGGACGAGGGGGAGGGGGTGGCTCGTACACATCTTCAACTTTAGGGTCTTCTGTCACAATACCTGTGAGAAACAAATATGTGTGACTGAGTAATCATTAGAAGGACATTTAATAGAAATTCATAGTATTTTGTATAAGACTACAACACAATTTTGGATGCAAACATGGGCATGTAATAAATGAAATAAGAAACAAATGAAAGAAAACTCTTACACATTTATAAACAAAAAAAAAACAGAGATAACACATTTAACAGTACAGACTCTAATCAAAGTTTAGGAAAAAGATGATTACCTTGTTTCTTAAGCATCTGATAAGCATCTTGAACCTTTGTTTCATGAGGAAGGCCTTTACTCCAGCTGTACAGCAGCTCAATGACACGTGTCTTCACCTTGGGTTTAGTCTTTGAGCCAAGATACTGTAAACAATGACATCAGAGCAGGTTTTAATTCAGTGTACAACACTGCAATGGCCAATAAAGTCATCTTGTACCTTGAAAAATCTTATTTTGTACCTTGAAAAAGGAGATATGTTTGTCTTGTAGGAGATATGTTTACTTTTTATATGATTTATACATTTAGTGTATAGCCAGTATACATGTAATTTCCCTTTGGCATATCATAACCTTCTCCCTGCTGACTGACCCCATAATCAATGGTGAATTGGTAGTTAAACAACTACTTCAGTGCGCTAAAGGTTAAATACATTTTGTAGAGTCTTACCTTAGGAGATACCAGCTTGATCATCTCGTTCAGAAAGCGAAACTTGCCGATTTCTTGGTGAAATCTACGCCCACAGTTCTTTACACAAGCCTCTAGTACCTGCAAGTAGAAGTCTCTGTCTGTTTATTCAGATCTCCATTACTGAAGATGCTTCTTATTCTGAAAGCCAGTAACATTCTACCGTCTGTACATGCAGTCTGCAAGGATGGACTAATATAGACGTAAATAAAGAGCAGTATGTTTGCAATAATTGATCCTGAAAAACAATGTGGGCAACTGAATAACCAAATTAGTCATTTCCTAATGTACATTTTGTACAATTGGTAGGCAAACAGTTACTTCAGTGTGCTTAAGGTTTGAGAGAACAATTGTTGCACCACAGAGCTTACAATAAGGCAATAAGACTGTTTACTAACAGTAAGAGCTTGCATGGCCTCCATCTCCTGAGGTGACTGGATTTTATGGGAAATCAGCCTGGTAGCAATCTGTGGCCTGTAGGTGTGGTGAGAGACAGATTACTCTTCAACCATTCATGCAGAATTATATCCATCTCTACCATTACTAATACATTGTCAAGTTAAAGAGGAAAAGAAAAATCAGCTATGTTTATTTACTCTGTTGATAACAAATTCTCACTGTACTCCTTTTCCTCTAGATATACATGTATGACGTGACTGATATGTACTAGTATGTACAAGATCATCGGATGTGAATCCTTTAGTAAAGTATGTAGGATATTTTAAAATCAGATGACATACCCTTCTAGCTCCTTATTAACCTGGTCACAGAAGCCCATGATGTACTCCCAATCCTCCTGTCTGTTGGCAGGACTGGTAGCTTTGTCTGCAGAACAAATCAGTATAGCTGTTACTTTAGATGGCACCATGCGTCGACAGGGCAGGCTGTCAGAATCTTGGAAAATGTTATTTCAAGTTTGGTACAGATATCAATCATAAGCTAGTTCACGGTTTAATGTGTGCATGTGTAGTATGATGCATTGTGGGTAATATGTCAGCCACTGGCCAAGGGCCTGCAACTTTGACATATTACCCAAAATGCACATCATGGCACACTGCACATGTACATTTTCAACAATGTAGTAGCTTATGCCATTTTGGCATATGATATTATTCTATATCAGATATTATTTTAGATTATGTCCCTGTATTAACAGTTATCACATTATGCTAAACCCCTTTAAACAGAATGATATTTAAAACAGAGAAGATACAATTCCATGTTCTCTCTATATTTGGTTATACATCAAATCTGTAGTAATCTGTTTACAGTTTACAAAAGGATCCCTGTTTAGGGTCAGTCTGACACTGACTAGTACAGGTCCAGGCTAAGTCACATGACAGACATCATGGGTGTCCTTAAGGCTAAGCAAGGCCAAACATGTGGGTGGCAGATACATAATATATAAGTACAGACAGCAGAAAACAATCTTTAAGAGATACAAAAAGTAGAGTTACTAGTTAGCGAGTTATTGATATAACAAAAATAGCGAACATCACACATGAAACCTTGAAAATGTATGTACTTAGTAACATGACTTCTTTGGCATGTTGCCAGTTTAATCGTTTGCGCCAATAAAAGCCATAATGTACAGTTCGGCCCATTTAAAAAGAGTTTCAATCCTACTGTCTTTTATTACAAAGTCATACGGGTGAAAGCAACTACACAGCATGTTTACATGTTTGTATATTCAACAGATTTAGTTCCGGAAGTAACACGTTTTAATAATCGTCTCAACGCATCAAAAGGCGATCGCTACTCCAAACAAGTCGAGATTTCTCTACTTTCTGGGGGCAAGCAGACCCCACAGCGAGCTTCCAGTGACCTACGGACCTGTTTAAGATTCTAGAATGCTCCCCTAGTGGTTGTTGAGTTTGCAGAGTGGAAAGAAAAAGGAGAACTTACTGAGCCAAGTCTCCAGAGTTTCTCCATCGTCGGACGCCGCCATCTTGGATCGGTATGCATTGTGGGAGATCCTGAAGGGGCGGTGCCACCTGGGCGACAGGAGCGGCGCTTTTCATGTCCTGATTACCCAACAGATGTCGCGGTGATCGAAGTCGTCCCGTTTTTCTGAAGTTTAGCTCTTCAAAGGCGTCCAATGCAATTTCAGGGCGGCAAAAATAATCTGAATGAAGAAATCTGTCTTCTGATGATATTGACATTGACTGTCATTTCTTATCATTTCATGTTCGTGGCATTTCAATAAATCATTATTAAATGCCCCAAAACCTGCTACGTCAGGCGTCTCTTTATTTTTTTGGTACATAGTTAAAACCAGCCTGCGATACAAAGCAAGGAAACGTTTTCTGTCAGTGACATGGCCTTTTGCTAATTATTGCCTTCAACTTTGCAGAAAATTGAGGATGAAAATAAGCACCTTTTGTGGCCGCATACCCATTCTATTGGAAGCTACTCTGTTCTGCCAAGGTTCTGCAGGCAATTAAAATCTCCCCCAAAATTCAACATTACCCCCAAAAAGATTTTTATGGCATTCATAACTGCAAATTAATTATACGCCACTATCAAGAGTTTGTGGGCTATATCTATTGAATATATAACTGATATAATTTCTATAAAAAAAAAGAATTTTTAGAAACCCGAAAATAGAGATTCTGAAACTCGAGTGAAGCTCCTGAGTAATAATCTGCTGTCTGCAGATGCGGCGCTTTTTGATATCGTCTGACACCTGTTGCCTGTTGATTTGCACCGTAGCACCGTTGTACAAAATCTTTTCAGAGACGATATCGGTGAACGTTTTCATCAGCCGACCCGGCCCTTGATCGAGAGTGTTTAGTAACGTTTATCAAGGACTTTAAGTTATATATAATATTCTTGAGTTAATATTACAAAATCGTCTCCTATATAATAATAGGGTGATGGCTGGGTAACGTTTCTCTCTTCAACTTCAGCAGGTATATACTGGGACCCGAATATGAGGTTTTGCACGACGTGAGGTTACTCAACTTACGTCGGTTTGCACGCGTGCCGATACTCATTTCCGCGACTGTTTGCACGCGTGCCGATCCTCGCGCTGTGCTGAGTTCGCACGCGTGTATGTCCTCGCGCTGCGCTGACCTTGCACGCCCGTGGAATTCCTCACTACAAACCGAGTAAACACGCATGTTGTGGGCGCAAAAGTGAAGGGCAGAACGCCGTAATGCCGGACCGAGCCTGACTAACTACCCTTGCGTGTATTTCCTCGAGGTGTCTCCAATTTACCCGCACGTGTATTTCCTCACTAAGAGCCGGGTAGACACGCATTTCGCGACCGTATAATGTGCGACCGAAGGCCGGGCATTTTTACTACATAAGTGCACGGAGCGACCTGTCGGCCAAATCAGTTCAAAGGATCGGCACGCGTGCAAACAATCGCGGAAATGAGTATCGGCACGCGTGCAAACCGACGTAAGTTGAGTAACCTCACGTCGTGCAAAACCTCGTTTCGGGTACCCAAAATATAGCTCGACTCAGATGAAAATGAGTACCTACAAATGTAGCTTCGGTTAGGAACATCCTCTTGGATAGGACGTAAAGCAAAGCT